AGTGTTATAAAATAATTTCTATTTTAAACTGAGATATAAAAGAATTAAAAACTGAAAACTTACACAAACTCTTATTTTACTTTTCTCCTCTCTTAACTCTTGTCTTAATCCTTCTGCCAATGCATTTACCATGTGCTTTGTTCCACAATAAAAACTTGATCCAAAGCCTGTAATAACTTTACGTCCAAGTACACTAATGAAGAGTTTATCAAGACATTTTGATTTTAGGTAATAAAATAAATTATTATTTTAATTTAATACTGATAATTTTTTGTATGGAATTTATTTAATAAAGTTTTTTTCAACAAATAATGTTTCTATTCGGTACATTTGAATATGTAAACAATATAACCCAGTAAAAATTGTGAAGAAAACATTTTGTTATAGTTTACACTGGCTTTTATTGTTATAATTGTGGATGTATGGGGACACTTTGGTTAAGAGAGTACAGGGGTTGATTTACCTAAATGTTTACAAATAAAAACACAAGTACCATTTTTTTAATTTGGTATCAATGATAACCTATTGTTATTTGTTTTCTCAGTTTGATTTGTTTTGTTTTGATTTTGCAAAATTTGGGAGGGTTTCCCTGCTTTATCTATCCTCAAATTAAGGATGAGTTAGGCTTTTAGATAAGACTTAAAATTCAGATTTTAAATGTCTCCAAAATTGTTATAGCTGAATAATTCTTTAATTTGTGGACCTGATTTAAATCAGTTTGTACTATACATCTCAATACTTTGTTTTATTTTTTGAAATTTTAACAACCTAAAGTCTCTATGACATTATATCTCAAGTTTCCCAGTTAGAAAATATCTTAAATTTGAAGAATGATGGATTGAATATAGTATGGCTTTTTTGAAATCCAGACTTAACATGTGGCAATTAATATAGGGTTATTGTGAAAGGGAAAAGTTCTCAAATGTACCTTATAACAATTGAAACTCTAAATCATTTATGGGGAATAATGTAATGACTTCCAATCACATATATGAATAATCAAGTCTAGAAGAAGAGGAGAGAAAATTAAGATTTTATACAAAAATAATGGGAAGAATAAAGACAACTTTTAACTAGCATATTTTATGTTTTATCATAAATAAACATAGCTATTTTGTATACAAAAAAAGAAATGTGATAAATATTTTAATATGATTTCTGACTTCATCATTTATAAATGTAGATGTAAATAAAGATACAACGTAGTTAAATAATTATCAATTAGATGAAATTATTACTATATAAGTAATCCTTAAAGGTGTAACAAATATTTAATAGTTTTGTCTATAAATAAATAATTTTTTATAGAAAAAAATTACCAACTATTTGTTATATCTTTACTTCTAATTGATAATTTTCAAATATTTTTTGTTTATATTTCAAATATATAATTACCTGCTGATATGTATTATCTGTCCATCATCTATTTCTTTTTCTTTCATCAGTTTTATTGCTTCACGGGTACAAATGCACAAAGCCAAGATGTTAACCTAATAAAATACCATTGCAATAACTCATTTTTTAAAGTTATAAATTATATAATTCTATTAGAAATATAAAATTTCTTCAATAAACAGTGGGGTGTCTCAGCAAATCCAAGACTTGGTATATACAATTCAATAGAATGACAGGAAGTCATTTTTCTGACTATTAATTTCTTTTCTATATAAGTTTTTGAATGTTTAGAAGGTGAAAAAGACCATATGTAGCATAATATGCAATGTCTGGACTTAAGTGTAAAAACAATTATGAGATAAGTTTTAGTGACCAAGATATAAACAATATATCTGAAGTATGAAGTCACTGAATTTTGAAAGGTTACTGTAAAGAACAGTGCAAAAATAATCTTATTAATAACAGAAGTAATCCTGTGTAAAAGGGAAGGTGTAGCCATTGACTAGATGGGCAATCCATAATCAATGCAAGATTGAAAATTAGCATTAAAAAAATGGCCCATAATGCTTTTTTGTTAAAGATGGGCTTATAGAATCTCTATAAAATTCCATGTCTAATAGCCAGGAATTCGACTTTTATCTATCTAACTACGCTATGAAAATTAAGAAAGAACAAACAGATAGACGATAGTGGGAATTTATAGGTCTACAATTTTTTTTTTAAATTGCAGTCCAATTATAAAGCAATGAAAGGAATAACTATTCGTATAGTCACTGTTAACTAAACAAGTTAACGTGTACACAGACAGATATTTAAAAAGAGAAATAACAAAGACTAATATTGAATATACCAAATATAATTGTACCCACTATGCTAACAGACTCGTAATGAAAATCAGTGCCGTAACTAGCCATTCCTGTGCCCTGTGCAAGAATTTGCATTTAGGCCCCTTAAATAATTAGATTTGAGAAAATAATAAAACAAATATATGCATTTTAGGCTCTCTTCCAAGTGGGCCCTGTGCGGACCTGTTGCATCTGCCTAGTTACGGCACTGTATGCAATGATAAAAAATCTAGCAGAGCTGTGTAACCCATTGCAAAAAAACACTGAGAATGTTACGAACAAATTAAAATTGTCTGTGACCAGATTTTTTTAAAACGATTTTTATATTATTATTATTATTATAAAATGGCAAAGGACTTAAATTTTTAGGGTGGAGATGGGTTTTATAAAAATTGTAAATGCTAATAAGTAAACTCTTCATTAAGTCCGATCCTACTCGAGATATGACACGTAACATCTCTCTATCTCCATTCCTTGACCTTTAACCACCAAAATTTAATATTATTAATGTTATTTATATACAAGTTATCATGCCAAATTTTGTTTCTTAATTAATCATTACCCCATCCTGATATATTAAAATAAACGAAACAACATACATAAACAACGTAAACACACAGGTCTAAGGATTCTTTTTTGAGTTGTTCTGGAGGTCTGAAAATGTCGAGATTTGCAAAATCCTGGAGGATCAAATTTGACACGATTCCAATACTTTCCTGTGTTATATACATAATAAGCCAGAAAGAAAAACTACTATTGAAATTGCAGGAATAATTTGCTTATAATTGTCCTGCAGTGACCTCAGTTAACGTCCATCTTAGATTCTGACCTTGTTTCATGGCGAACAAGATCAAAATTTAAGATGGGGTTGGTTGTGTTGTAGTCGAAGACAGAGAGGCTACAATCAACTAACCCTACTTTCACATGAAACAGAAATATTATATAAATGTATTCGATTTCGTAAGAACGTTGAGAATAGTCACTATTAAAGTGACTATTGACTTGGTCTACTGAGAATTATTTGAATAAACAACTTCTAGGAGTCTCTCCCGACTAGGCATCTTACCCGGTTTTACCCTATTTATATTGTTTGCTGCTATATGCCGTTTTTACCCTATTTATATTGCTTGCTGGCTTCATGCTTCTTAAGCCAGACTTAAATCCAGCTTAAGAAGAGTGACACAAAATACGTGCAGCAAAATTATGTCAATTTAACGTTATTTTTTTGCACGCATTTCACATAGACACTACATGCAAGAACTCAAATCCACCTTTAGCTTCATTGGAGCTACAGTCGCATCGTTTAATAGCATTCGTATCAGAAAACTTTTGATTTATTAGCATATATAAATGTTTCATATTTTGTATGATTAATATTTATTGACAAAATGTGTTTTTTCCTGTTACAGCAATCTTGTACCTATTACAAAATAGTTAATTAATGTGACCTCAATTTTACTGATATCAATATAATGCAATGTTTCGTTTGTTCTTTACATCATTAAACAAAAAAAAAAGGAAATAATTCATATTTTGCCATTAATAGTTTCTATGTTCTAGCATATCAGTGCCGTAACTACAATTGCTCATTGGTGAGACCGAACTAGGACCCAGAGCCAACAGGAATTCGAACGATCAGTATCATCAATTCCTTTGATCATGGATCGTAAACGTTTTTCTTACGGTGTATTATTTTTTCAGTCAAGGGTTAAAGACTTTTTGGGAGCTGGGTGCAATTCAAATATTTTATGCCGAGGATGGGTTGGGAGAGGAGTGGCCAGCATTATAATTTCTAATCACGGTTCGAAGTGAAATTATTTCACCTTTGGTTTATATGTTTACACTAGCTGTTACTCGCGGCTTTGCCCGCGCGGATTTTGCAAGCAAACCCTATTTATATTCAGTATTTCAATAACCATAGTAATTGTCATATAACACCTACCGCTGAAGAGAATTGCCGAGAATCAAACGAACTATTTTTAATTTGATCAATTTTCTGGAACGTTTACAATCGTTCTATAATTAAACCAATATGCAATAACAAATTCGAATTTAAAACGGTTCGAACATTTTTAAAATCGAAATAGATAAAAATATTTATAACAATGTCTGAAATGTTATCAATTTAATACGCCTAAGTACTCGATGAAGACTAAATCCTCTCCCTCTACCGCCCGCTGAGGAATTTCGAAAAATCCCTTCGAAGTGTGCATTCCCTTGGCGTACCCTACAAAAACGCAGTCAAAAACAAAAAATCGCATCTAAAATAGTACATTAGAAGCCGTTCTTTCGGTTAAGCCTTAATCCTCTCCCTCTCCCCCCGCGGGTGAATTTCGAAAAGTCCCTTCTTAGTGTGCGTTTCCATGACCTACCCTAACTGTCTACCAAATTTCACCTCTTAAGGTTAAGCAGTTTGCTCTGGGCGATGATGAATCCGTGAGTCATTCAGTCAGTCAGTCAGGACAAGCAATTTTATATATATAGATAAAGTAACCAGACATTCTATATTGTATAGGATCGCGCATACGTTCCGTATTTTAACATCCTGTTCTAAAAGGTTTTATCGAGACTCTTGAAATGCCCCACATTCCTGAAGTTTCCGGAAAAATGTTTTGTACTTCAAGAATTTCAGAGATTTCTCCTTTTAGAATCTCAGTTCATTTTAAAAGCTCGCATATCTGTAAATAAACAATTACTACCGTTCATTATTTGTTATAGATATACACTAGACGTAGAGGTAAAGCGTATATAAAATAGCATCCTGATCCTTTTGGTTGGAGGTGTGCACCTTATTACATAGTCGGGAAGATGGTTGTTTGCAAACGAAAACAAAAAAAACATAGTACCGATACCATGTATCGCTATAGATACGATTTGCAGGGACAAATAATAGTATAAATACTTATTATTTATTATTATATTCGGTGGGTGGTCCGTCCNGTGTGCACCTTATTACATAGTCGGGAAGATGGTTGTTTGCAAACGAAAACAAAAAAAACATAGTACCGATACCATGTATCGCTATAGATACGATTTGCAGGGACAAATAATAGTATAAATACTTATTATTTATTATTATATTCGGTGGGTGGTCCGTCCGAATGTCCTTCGTCACCCGGCAGCTCATTGTGTCTTTGGCCGAAACCACAACTGACTTAGTAAAAAGGCCCTCTTAGTGCCCACAGGACAAAAAGAAAGACTTAACTCTACTATTAGCAGTTAATAGCAAATAGCGCGCTAATAGTAAAGTTATTCTCATTAACAAGCTACTTATTATCTAGAACTATCCAACACTACTTACGTCTAGAATACTTCTCCAATGATCTGTGTTACCGCTCATTAAGGGACAGATTTTAGAGACACCAGCATTATTAATACAATGTTTTTTAATTTCTTGAAACATGTTCAAAATTTCCGATTCGTTAGTTAAATCACATCTAGAAAAATCACCAATTAGAAAAAAACAATGTAGATTTATACCAGAAATTCAGAATGACTTACTTTATGGGTAACAATTCACCGTGAGTAAAAGATCCTAATTCTTCTGCTATTTTTTTGATGGCATCTACATTTCTAGCGCAACCAACGACTTTCATCCCATTTCTTACCAATCCTTTACAAATGGAGGCACCTATACCTGTAGAAGCACCCGTAACCAAGGCTACTTTACCAACCCAACGATCCATGTATAAAGCAGAATTTCAGAAACGTCTAATGGAATTAAATAATAATTAAACTTAATACATAACTAATTACTAATGAATGTAAATTTTATTACCAACCTAAATTTTTATTTATGAATTAAAACGAGAAGAAAGTCTTACCGTTGTAAGTACTATAACCTGTTGTTAATATACAAGAGAGGATATTTAATTAAACTCTACAACTTCCTGCAACTTTTATGATGATAGTTTTAGATTAACAGTCACTTGTAGCACGTACGAATCACGTACTCTGTACGTGATTCGTACGTGCTACAAGTGACTGTTAAGTGACGTACTCTGTACGAATCACGTACTCTGTACGTGATTCGTACGTGAGTACACTCGTACGAAATTCACGTACGCTGTACGTAGATCATGTACAGAGTACGTGATTCGTACTTTGTTTCTATATACATATATCAATAAGCAATTATGCATTAGTAAATATAATACCATGGTTACTAGATAAACTGATTGGAGAGTTGCTATTCTTCACTTTTTTATTGGTCCCCCAAATTTTAAAAACACTCGAGTCAATAAATTATCAATTGCAACGAAATACGGTATTTTATTCCCACCATTGTCCTTGAAACTACCGCTGATAGTAAAACAATAAATCAGCAAAACTAATAAATTATGTTTCCTTTTGATATTAAAAGTCGTTTATTTATTGGTTTTAAGTACTGTTTTCGCATTTACAAGTTTCTGTGAATTCGAGTATTGATTCAATTGATATAAAAGTGTGATATTTCGGATTCACCCCGTAAAAAATTATTTTTGAAAGGAAAGTTCTAACATTTTTGTAAAGTAGTAACTGTATTTTATTTACATTTTAGAGAATTTTCACTGTATAATTTTATTAGTCTTATTGTTCTATTGTATGTTCAATATAATACTGTATAATAAAATCGTAACTGACATTTTGTTCTTATATGAACAGTATTTGTTTTTAAATATCATTGTTAAAGAAACAATAATGCTAAATGGGCGATCGATGTTTATGTAAACGTTAATTAATACGATATTATTTTTAAAAAAATCTTTTCTAACATTTACTTTCTTATCTGTTTCTATCAGTTAAAGGTATCATTTTTCTCTTTAAATATTTTCTCCCTTTTAAGTTATTAGTATAGATTACAACAATGGAAACTATGACTCATTTATGGAATTTTGGTTTTATAGAATAAGATAGTGGAACAATAAACTTTTTATAATATTTTTAATTCAGTGCCTAAATAATGTATATGAAGGTATTGTATTGTACATACATGTAGTTGTGTAAGATGAGGAGATAAAGGAATGTCATTTGTCATATCTATAGAGAGATATGACTTAATGAATTTTATCCGTTACTAGCAGACCCCCGCCACGCGTTGTTGTGGCTCAAAATGTATCTATTATAAATGTATAACACTTACCCTCGTGGGGGTGGGAATTTTTCGAAAAAATCCCTTCTTAGTGTACATTCTCTTGACGTACCCTATTAAAACGCAATCAAAAATGCAAAAAAAACGCATCTAAAATAGTATAATAGAAGCCAAGTTCTTCACGGTAAGCCTTAATCCTGTCCATCTCCCCCAGTGGGGGAGATGGACAGTGGGGGGAATTTTGACACGTATATTATATAAAAACACGTGCGTATTCGAATGCAGCATTGTGTCAAAATTTCAAAGGAATCGGTAGGAACAAACAAACATTACATTTTTATTTATATAGATAGATAGATAGAAGATGATCTGCTTTAGTTCATCCTCACAGAAAAGCAAACTTAGGGCGTCGTACTCGTAGCGCCATCTGTTGGACATAAAAGCCTTAACCCTATATGATATCTTTTAATTTATATAAATGTTTAACGGATTAATAAACAGCCTATGTCCACCCCGAAGTTCCATTCTAAATTTTGGTGAAAAAAATTTTTTAAATAGGATGAGTAGTTGCGGACATACAAACTTACTTACAAACATTACCTCTTTATAATATTAGTATAGATTAACATTCACAATCCTTTACAAAACTCATCCCTACCGTCAAAATTAAGCTTTTTGTCATTTTATAGTAATTAAAAATGTAAAAAGTTTTTTATAACAAACTCTCATAACAGATGGCGCCACATAAGTAGTAGTGATTGTTGCCGAAAAAGTTAAGCAACTCGTTGCTATATTTTTATACATCGAAATCAAATATTCTAGTTTGATAATGTCTATGGGATCCTGTTTTTTATTATTTAGATTTTCTCATCCACCTTAAAATTTAATTTTAAAAATGTCTCAATTAATTCTAAAATGAATAAAAGATTATTATTAATTAAAGAATTAAGTTGTATTTCCGATATTAAACTTATTTATTAAATAAAAATAAAAAAATAAATAAGAGTTGTAAAGAATATTTCACATTTTTACATGTATATGTATGTGTATAAGACTGTTTATATATATATAAGTTTAGAAATTAAATNTTTCAAAAGTATTTGTTATATTGAAAAATGATCTTGAAATATTACTGAATTAGTTTCATATGATATAGAATTCTGTTTCAATAAATTTTGAAGGTAAGTATTTATTATTAGTATTACTTTAATATGAGTGATTATTAATTTTGAGGCATTTGCAATGCATTACAATAAAAATCTCTGCTTAACACACTGTTCAGGGAGCTTAGATTTGTAGGAGAACATTCTAAAGAGTTCGATAAACTGATTTTTTTAATAATGATTCTATTATCTTTTTTAAATTTAACAGTTAGACATAAAAAAAATCGTCAAGACTTGACAATTATTTGCATGGTTTATATCTATCATATGAAAAACAAATTTTAAGAAATTACAATCAGAGTTTCGTTTTCTTGGAGTTTAATTAATATTCTTTAAACTCTTTCTTAATTATATTTAAATAAATACTCAGTAATATAAATTTAAATGTGTAGAAATTAATTAAAATGATAATATTATTAATAGTGTTACAATTTTATTATGTTTTTAGTTAACTTAATTAAATAAGTTATTTTTAAAATAAATTACCTTATTGTTGTAAAATTTATTCTTAAAGTTTATTGATATACAATCAGAGTTTCATTTCATAAATTCGATATCTTTAATTAGAGTTTATCACTTAAATAAATATTATTTCAAAGAAATTATGGTTTAGTATAAAGAATATAGTAATTCAAAGATTAATGAGTTTGTTTGATCACACAGTATAAATTTGATTTGAAGAAAGACATTTTTTTAATATTATTATTATTATTGCTACTGTACAATTTGAGTTAAATTCTTATACTTTATAATTTTTTACTTTCATTTCATTTTAGTAACTAATTTTTTATTTTAAAAACATAAGTTTCATTTCAATTCAATTACAATATAAATTTTAAAAATTATATTTTTATAGATTTCACATTAACAATTTGATAAAATGGATGAAATAATTGAATATAATCGTATTATAATATCAAAAATAGGAAGACAAGACATTTCGTATATCAATAAACATTCAATATGGTTAGTAAAAAATATTTATGTATGAAATCTTTTCGTTATTTTCTTATTAAATATAAAATAATACTAAACCTAATTTTTATTTATATAAATTACAGAATGCGATTCTAATAAATTTTGAAGCATTTCAAGTGAAAGAGCATGAAATTATTTACCGACAGTTGGCCATAAAAGCATTACACAGTCTTATAGAAGTTGTAATAGACATTTATATAGATTCTGTTAAAAAGTATCAATTATAGGCGAAAGATAAATGGCAAGTCAATTTTACTAGCAAAAAAAATTCATGGATTAAACATCGGATATAACTGGTTGG